TGACCCAGAGGGTCCTTTTTGAGTCCCATGAAATACTACAGTATTACTTTCAAGCTTTTCCATGAAATGGGTCATGGAACCATTTATTGGCAACTCAAGAAGTAGGTGAAAGCCAATCTTGAAAGAAACACTTCATTTCTACTACTTGTAACATGTGGTCAGTATTCCGGTAAAATTATCAATGTTTCACTTTCTCCATTGTCATGCAGAGTTATTGGACTATATCAGTGCTTCTGTACTATCCATGGTGACAATGATGACACACAAACAGTGTGCCTGGAATTATACAAAATATTTTCATAGCAACTGTGCCAAATAGGGTCAAGTTGTTTTGCAGAAGAGTTCACTTAACTGCAGGGAATTCTGCAGATACCGTACCAAATGGTGGCCACTGGTTACTTCTTCACATGCTCGGCTGCATGCAAGAAAATTGGCATGAGGGGCTCCTAGGATTATATTCCTCTTTGCATGGTTAAACAGCTGGAAGCAGTAGCCAATTATGAGTAATTTGGCTTTTATGTGAGTGCATGGAAGAGCCCAGAACAGAAACTGAGGAATCTGCTACTGTGGCTTCATCTCATGGACTCAGAACTAGAGAATATCACAGAGACTGAAAGGACCTTGGAGATCATCTAGTCCAATGCACACCACTCAAAGCAGTGTCAGCCACAAGAGCCCAGGGATGTGGTTTTAGATATTGCCAAGGATGGAATCTCCACAGCCTTTCTGGATAAACTGTTCCAGTGTTCAAGCACTTTTCCCCCAGTCCAGAAGCTTTACAGGACTAATGTGTTTTAGTTTCTCTGTTGCTGATGCTCTAATGCAAAAGACATGTCTGTATAGAATAATAATGTTTAGTCAGTAGACCAAAAAGCTCTCTTTGCCAGGCTTCGTAACCTGTCAGGTTACCAAGTCTGAGTCAGGGAAGTATTCATAGATAATTGAGCTTTCTCAGACGAAGCAGTGCAACCCTTGGCCTCAGTATTATTTATCTTATTTAATGAAGGATGTTCTGGGGTACATTGAGGATCAAGAAGAGTTTTGTTAATGCTGAAGGACGGTATTGGTATTATAGCTAATTAATGTGCCTGTTCCTACTGGTGATAAATGGGTGTGTCGTCTGTTCATCTGGCATTGAGCCTCGAGCCTTACATAATCATTTGTCGCTGTACCCAAAGGTTTTGATAATTAACATTTCAGATTTCACAGGTCATCATAATTTTTCAAGAAAGATAGATAGATTTCATATGTAGTAGTCTGCAGTAGAAAACTGGAGGTGAAAGCAAAACAATATTCAGAGGATAAGGTCTGTAAAATGGGCCAAAAACTCATCTGAGGAAGAATCTTTTCAGTTTTATTTCAAAGTTTAGGGAAAGGAGAAAAGAAACATGTGAGAAAAGAAAAATGCATCAAAGGAACTCCAGTGAATCCAGGCTGGCTTAGCCTTCATGGGTTAATAGATCATTTGAAACTGCTGTTTTCAGTGGCTCTGAAATTGCAGGAAGTGGTTTGAGGCCAAGAGGGAATAATGACTCCAGGAGACATAATTTCTAGGGAGGAACTGAGGTCCTGCAATTCCGATTTGGAGGAAACACAAGCCACAGAATGAAAATGCCTTGCAGTTTCAATGTTAGCAAAGAAGCTGATGGCTGGAAGAGAGAAATCTGAGGAGAGAAGCAGAAAATATGAATATCTCTGTGTGTCTATGTGTGTGCAATGTTGTGCCACATTGCCAAGCCTTTTGTCCTTAAGCCAAGAATCTGAGCTGAAAACCTCTTTTGCAAGGTCCTTCCAAAACACACCACAGCTCTCCAATTCTGAGTATTCATGTTAATTCAACATGGAAATGTTGGGATATGGGTTTTGAAATGTTTTAATGATTACTATCCTCAGATAGATATTGGACAGGCAGAAGAGAGAGGGAAGGAGGGAAGAAGAGACTCTGCTCGTTTGACATTTCACCAGATGAGAAGACAGTGATGGCCATGCACAACTTGCACAACTTGCACCACTGTCGTTGCTAGTTCTGGTGGTTTTCTATCAATGGACTCACATCTGAGAATCCCAGACAAAGAGAAAAGCACATCTTTACAGATTGATCCCACCAAAGTGGCAGAGGCACGAGAGTTAGCTTAGTCTAAATTTAATCTGCCAGTCTCCCTGGAGTCAGTGGAGAGAGGCACCTTCACAGGGCAATTCAGAGAAGGAATCTGGCTGCAAGGGCAGCATTAACCTTTATGACTGTTCTGCTTTTGCCAAGAGTCAATGGGATCAATTCATAGCTGAGTGGAGAAGACTTATACTGGCTAAGAAGCAGTCCCAGTATCAATAAAACTACCACAGTGTGTTCTCTGTATCACAGAACTGCCATATGTCTCCACTTATGGGGATTGGGTATGGGGACTGTAGAGGGAATTGCTTTTCTGGGCAGGTTAATGTAACAAAAAGCGAGCCGCTCTGCAGCCATTAATCTCCCTAAAGCCCATAGTCTCAGTCCTCCTGTGCTGTACTCCGTGCTATGCTTCATTATGGAGTCTTTAAACACCTCTGCTAAAGAGAGAGAAAGTAATTTAAAAAGAAAACACAGCTTTGGCTCCTTTAGTTGGATTTTTAGAGAAGTAAGGTTCCTCTTGGGTTAAACTTTTTAGACTTTTCTAATTTTGTTTGTATTTTGTTACAAAGGCCAAGTGCTATTGAGTAGACACCCAAAAAGTATGCCCAACATTAGAATATTTTGTAAATCAAAATAAACTAAGGTATTTCAAATTGTGAGTTTTAAGTATTAGAGCATTTTTGTTATTTTTATTTTTCCTATTTCCAATTTAATAATAAAATCTGATGGTCTTGCTCTTATTTTTAATAATAATCTAACTTACAGTACTTTAGGAACTACAACTTCAAGAAGAAAACATAAATTAATGCTTCTAGTATAAAACTGGCTTTTATTTAATACCTTGGAGGTTTGGTGGAGGGTTGTTTTAGTCTTCTTTATCATCAAGAGGTATCCAATAACAATTTTCTTTATTTTAATTATATGTGGAATATACTGCTTGTTGTAAACAAAACATGTAGTTGTTTAATGTGCATATTTTAGCTCAGGGATTTGAAGCAGTCTACTGAGCTAAGACACATGCTCTATATTTCCATTTATTTCCTCACAGAAGTTTGTCGGGATTTCTGAGATACCTTTGAATAATCTCAACTTTCTGTTGTGACTTTTTCTTTTCCTTATCAAAATAGTATTTCTAAATATATTTGTGGTGCTCTTGGTGAAGAAAAGATTTACTCTTCCTCATAGTTGCTTCACTTCTGTAAATCAATATACATCAGCCAAGCTACTATTTACCCCAGCTTGAACGTCTCCTCCTTCAGTTCCAATATTAACTCAGTTAAAAATAGTAGTTTTATATTTAAACCTCTGCTTCCTGAAGCGACGGTAGGTGGGCCAACTTGTAACATGATCAACATTTACAGCATTATCTCTACTGGAATACATTTGTACCAGCTCCTAACAAACAAAACATAATGGCTTTTTGGAATCCCACTGCTTTATTTTTTACAAAAAAGGCAGTATTAATTAAAGAATGAAAAATGTGAGCCCTGATATAGCGTGCATATGTGTACATAAGTAGCATACAGCACAAAACTTTTGATATCTCGTTATGCAACTCATTGCCTGAAGTAGTACTTGTGGAAAGGGGTGATGTTCTGGGCTTGTATATGGGGAGTAGCAGTAGTGAGATGGGGGATCACAGAGTCCTGCTGTCAATGCATAACTTATGATTTAGTGCAAAGTTTAGTTTTACAATAAACTTAGAGACATTTGAGATGCCCAGAGCCATTTTAGGTGCCTAAGCTTATTTAAGAGACTGGCAGAGAAGATGCAGGATTTGCAGGAAACCCATGTCTTTCTGGACAGCAGCTGAAGGACAATCAGAATAACTAGGACATCTCTAGTTGGACTGGACAGTTCTATGTGGACAGCTGAGCTGGGCTGCATCTTGCATCTGCAGTCACAACTTTTCAAGCTATTTTTTGATAACACTGAGGGGCATGCTAATTGTGACCTATCAGAAACTGTTGGCCCTTAGCGAGATCATATACTGGCTCATTTTCTCTGCTGTGCCACATATTATATTAGTGAGTATTCTCACTAAACAGAGTGACATTACCCAGTGTGTCTCATGGTAAATACAGATTCAAGTACCTCTATAACTGAGAGTTGTCTTCAAGTCCTCAGTAAATACAGAGCTGCTAAAAAAAGTGCCTAGGACATTACTAAGTTAAAGTGTCTGAACAATATACAGCAGGGATCTGAGACGGTAATTTTGTTCATGTATGTTGAAACAGTTGGACTCATCCAGGTGTCAGACACAGGAATGTCTTCCTAAATTTCTTCCAAAAGAACAGTATTATCTGCAAAACCTACAGTATTTTAGCAATATTTTAAAATAAGGAAATGTGCTTTATTACCAGCATTAAGCATAAAATATAGACAGAAAAAAAAGAAAAAATGCAGTTAGAAGGTTTGTCTCATGAAAAATTCTGCCTCCGTCTCTGTGTTTAAACATGTGTCCATACTAACTTAGGTCCAGTTTCATTCCATTCAGCTTGAAGCACCTCACATTTGATATATTCCTTATCCAGCCTTTGAGACCACATCTAATTTGGGAAGCCACCAATGGATAGTGGCATGGTGTGTGTATCTTGGGTAGGAACAACCCTGGAACATGCTGTAACTGTTTCTGGGGAAATCAAAGCGTGAGAAGGCAGTGTGGACATGGCTGGCCTGTAGATATGGAGTAGATACCATTTATCCATGTCATTAGAGACATTAAAATACAAATTACTGTCTGATGTGATAGCCTGGCTTCTGATGGAGGTGCTCTGGAAGATAGAGGGAATCTGGGTCTTAGAATCCTGACAACTGCCATGCAAACAACCTTTACAAATCCATGCCAGTCTTGTCTGACACTCAACACCTGGCTCCTTTTCTGTAGTGAGGATGGCTGGACCATCGCAGTGGCGCACTGATTTTTGTGGATGGTGATCACAAAAAGGGAATTGAGAAGAGGCCACCTGAATTATTCTGACACATGACTTCAGTGCATTCTATTCTTAGACAGATGAGGATCTGAAATATGTAAGTACACTATCATTGTTTTTTAGATTTATTTGGAAAGATGAGTCAAAGAAATAAAACTCTTAATCTGTCATGGGTGTGGTATTTAGACATTTATAATTTTCTTTTGATGTTTGTTTATATTTGAGTTGATAAATTAAGATTGTCCTCACATTATTTTAAGCACTGTTATTTGTCTCCATCCTTTTTTTTTTTTTTAAGAAATGAAAAGTAGCAAAACCCATGAAATTATATTTGCAGTTTCATTTTAAATTTATTGTCTAACAAATAGTGATCACTTGGAAAATGTTTTTTTCCTTGTGTTGTTAACAAGAGGTTTAACCAAAGTGATTGAATCAAGATGAGAAATGATCCCAGGTTCCTGAAGCTTGAACAAATGATATTGTCAATTTTAATGTGCTGGTCTGGAAGTTCATTTGAAGTATCAGAAATAACCTAAATATAATTTCATGGCAGCTCATATACTACTTAGCGTCATTTATTCCTTACCACAGAACCTACATTACCTGTGTTTTACCAGCATTTCCAGCTCACCAAATACCTACCAACACTCAGCTGTTTACTCCTGCACACTCCCAGTACAAGTAAAGATAATACTTCTTTTTCTTTTTCCCACCAAATAAATTGTATATTGACTTCCAATTTTATCTTGACTGCCACCAACACTTTTGTTGAATGAGAGCAACCAAAATATTATGTGGATGTACTACTTCTGATTCATCTAATGATGGTAAATAAGATCCCTTTTAGAACTCTATTATCTCCCATAAAAAAATGTTTGTGTGCAACAGTTAATAAGTAGAACTTGTCAGCCGCAGAGTGCTGTACCTCAGTTTTGCAAATGAGTGTCCATCCCGAAGTATTTCAGAGACAACAAAAGAAATTTGAAATGTTCCTACGTATGCCAAAACTTCAATGAGCCATAAAGATTTGGAAGCACAATTGAGTTATTTCTACAACTTGAAGCCAGTAACAGTGTACTTTAAAGTACAGAAACCAGTCAGCAAGATCTGTAATTGACTTGTGAGGACAAGGCTGAGTCCTATGACATTTTTGGTTTTGAAATTCGTCAGGAGAATATTTTTAGTCATATAAGTTTCAAAGTATAACTTTATGTCTCAAGAACGTACTGATTGTCCTTTGGTTTTAAGGAATAAGCATAAGCTTATATATGTCTCCTTTCTCTGGTCCAGGTTATAAAACATATTTCAGATTATTGTGTTTATATAGTAATGAGACTACCCTGAATTCTTGCAGCTTTGGGCAAGTTTTTGAACATACATTATACCAGTGACAGGCAGATTGTTCTTGATAGGTCTGAATTAAAATAAGTGCATTTTAGGGAATATGTAGATTTCTGACTGTAGCTGATTGGTTTGGTAGAGATTGGTGTAACAACAGTGCCATTATATCAAGGCCCTTGTTCATCTAGAGGTTCCTAGAGGTATTGGAATAAAAGGAACTGTAGCCTAGGCATCTTTACTGCACTAGAGGAAGAAAACAAGGCTTTTCCGGACAAATAAGAAGTGGTGAGGCAATAGTAGAGCTCTGGCATTTCATTTCAAAAAAGAAAATAAATAAAAAGCTCCTGAGTGGAAAAATGAAACTGTTGGACATTTTTGCAGATATGTAGATAAGTAAAGGGTGCTGATGCTGCTGTGAAGTGTCTGCATTACTCCAGATAGGAGCTTTTTTATCATAATTTGGTCAGCAACTATCAAAATATCTCATTTCTGAAAGAAAAAGCCCTCCTTATAAGTATCAGGACATTATACATTTTAAGAGACCTATCAACCTAACCTAGACTTTTTGATAGCTATGGAAACAAGCCAAGATTGTATTAAAAAGTGGTATTGTGCTAGAGGTAACCATGCCCTGTCAGATGTGTTGCATATACCCTGCTGTGTGCATGGATATTTATGGATATGCCTATACAACATATCAAATCAAGGGGAAAAAACCAACTTATGGGGAGGTGTGCTAATATTTGTCCATGGCTAAAAGATACAGCATGAGTGCATTGTCCTGGCAAATGAAAGTGAAGGACATAAATGAAAGGTTATTCCCATAGTAACTCAGTAGTTCAAGGACATTTATCAGTACTACCTATCTGCTGGAAAAAAGTGGATGGGGGATTCATTCCTCTTAGTTCCCTGTGGTTGCTATCTGCTTGGAAATCGCATCCATTGCTACCTGTATAGGGAGCCCTGACAGCTGGGCACAATTTGAATTGTTTGAACCGTGTATCTCTCCACATGTCACCAGGATGGGGATTTACATTTGGAATTGGAATTAGTTTATAACCTTGCAGAAATGCACAGAAGTAATACATGGATCTTATCAGTATGTCTGGTCAGTTTTGAATTCCTGCAGAAATGTTGCCACAGAAGGATCTCCTCCGAGGTACTCAGATATCAGTGTGATTAGCCTGGCAGACAGACCTCTGTATTGGAGAAGCTCCTGGGATAGCAGGGGACATAAAGATTCAATAATAATACCTTATTATTCTATCAAATGATATCTGCAGAGCACTTTAAAATCATTGTACAAAGGACAAAGGATGCTGTATATACAGAGGGGTAAAGGCTGGCATTCCTGCAGTGCATGTAATTAACAGAATTCCATGCAAGTTTGGCCTTTGGAAGAAAAATAATCTTGGGTTGCACACTGGGCATGTGGAGCTTCCATAATAAACACACAAGGAACCACTGTAAGGCATCTACAGAATTAAGGTTATTGCTTTGCTGGTGCCATGTCCTCAGTGATCCTGAGGTTCAGAGACCTGTTCCTACAAGTGAGGAGGTTCGTGGAGACAAGAAACAGATGCAGTACTTGATCATTTTTTGTTTCGGTGCTTCTCAAAGCACCTCTTGACCTAGCTGAATTTTGGTGAGAAGCTAGAATGTGTCTAGGTAGAAATATCTTCCCTGAGCCAGTTTATGGGAAGTGTTGTGATTCCTCTTGTTAAGGGGTGGTCAAAGGAATACTAGTTAGCATGGTTTTTATTGGTTCCTGCTAATAAATTGACTTTTTTTTTCGGTGCTTCAGGTAGTCCTTCAAGTTACTCAGACTGCATATTAACACACTACAAAATAAAGCGCTTGTTGTTCCATGTCAGGGTTCATCTCTGTTGTTATGCAAAAGGGACACAGGAGATGATCAGAAATAATCACCTAACCGTGTCCTTATTTCACACATTGCACCCTACATGGTTTGTTTTCTCTGATCATTTTTCAGTTTTAGGTCCTCCTCAGCAGTCGAAAGTTAAGGGCAGAGGTGTGGCCTAGTGTGAAGAACACAGGGCTGAGCTGTGATAATCTTATATCTACTCTGGATTTGCAAAAGTTTGATAGATTATATCAGTCTATCCCTCCCATTTATACAATGAAATTAATTAAATTGGCTGACATTCATAAGGACATTGAGATAAATAGAATAAAAATACCCTTTAGCAGATGCACAGTTTTATTACCGATTTTTTCCCTTAATGCAGTACTCTTTCCAGAAAATGGGGCCAGGATACATACTCAGACCCTTGCAGCCTCCACTATGCAAATTAATTTCCAGTACCCTGGAATATAGAAGTACAGTACCTCTTTCATTAGACATGGATCATTTCTATAATAAACGGTTGGCATTGCTGCATGGTAATTGATCAGGATTTGGAAAAGGCATAAAATGCCAGAAAACTCACAGATAAATCTGATTTTATTTTTAGAGCTGGGACAAAAAAAACCATATTTGCTGATGTGGATGGTAATTTTTACCTCAGACATAAACCTTTTGGGAGAACTGCAGTATGTGAAATGAGGCACAGAGCTCACCTAGAAACCAAAAACATCTTTAGAAACTGAATATTTTGAAAGTCATTTAACGACTGACACGGTGCTAGCTTCAGGTTTCGGGTCACTAGCAGTGACTTCAGTTTGTGAGAAAAAAAAAAAATTATAATAGCTGCAAAGTGGTTAAAAAAGGAAGAATGGCCTACAAATTTTTTGAAGATTTTCCACATGAAGGTAATAAGATGTTTTAACAGGTTGACTGGGAAAGTTGGATAATGTCTACATGGGGTGACTTTGAAAGAGTGGGACAAGTTCTTGAACTACTTAATATATCCGGACCTGCTTTTGAGATGGAGGTTTGACTACAGATCTTCAGAGATGCTGGTCAAACCTGAATTATTTTGTGATTCTAGGAAGGAAGGCCATCAGAGGCAGAAGTTCAAATTAAAATCTGAAAATATAATTTTTCACCATCCAAAGCCATCTCTGTAGCTTTGGATGTCTAAGTGGAGCAGGGTGTTTTTCTGTTTATTTGCTTCCGAGAGTGAAGGACAAGGCCACCTTCTCTGACAGCCCTTTGAAACAGTGTGAGGGGAGGTTGCATAGATTTGCTGACACTCATATTTAGATTCAGCTAAGCATTAGCTGATGTTCCCTTTCTCCAAGTTATCACTTTTATAGTGGGGATTTAGCACTGTCTTTTCTGCACCAGATACACCCATCTAAAGTAGTGGGATGAGATTCTTAGCTAGAGGCTTTCCCATCCTTACAAGTTCTCTTCATGTGTAATGCCATTGCACTTGCTGTACATTAACAATGAAGGGAACTGTTATCAGTCACTTCAGAATATCCCTGTTAAGGAGGAGGTTAATCCTTCTGGGTCTTCAACTCAGGCTGTTCATAACAGCAATGTGATAGACATAGTAGACAAATCCAAACTGCCTGAAGAGTCAAGATATGGGCCATAATGCTTCTCCCATTTTTTAATTTTCCTCCCAAAACACTGTGATTTGCTTCAACATGAAGCAAGACAGTCGGCCAACAGATAGGTCATACAGACAACACTTACATACTCTGGAATTCTCCTACCATCTGCTCCCAGCTTTCTCATCTGCACTAAGTTCCATCCTTTTATCCTTGCTTCCTTTTCCTACCCATGACATGAGTGGGCGAAGCACGTTTTTCTGCTTGTCTCCTTGTTTCTGCACTAAAAGAAGG